TTATTCTTCTCACATTCGACTGTGATTGGTCAATTTCTTACTCTTACTTCTTACTCCGTGTATTGTAGACGGGCCTTAATTCCTGAATGCAGCCCTGTGTTTTAGCATCAAGAAAGCAAATTCAGCCGTCAATTCGGCAATCAATAGTCGAGTTATATACTAGGCTTGTGATATCTGACCAATAAAAAGGAAGAAGGCAGTGAAGAAGATAAATATAATTCAACGCAATTTTATTAGTTTTATCTGGTTTTGTTGAAAATTATTGATATTAAAACACATATTTTTAGAAGTGAATATTTTAGTGTTTCACCTTCAAGATGAATCGAAAGGATCGCGAACAAATAGATTACTGCTGTGAAAGCATTGTGTCCAAAATTGATCTGACGAAACTCTTACCAAAATTATTGGAAAACAAAGTTTATAACAGAGACGATGTAAACATCCCACGGTGGTCGGTAAGTTTTATCCATGAAATATTACGCAGTTGTATACATAATTATCTCACATTCTCGACAACAGTTTTGTCATTAATTTCTAATACTTAAGTATAAAGTGTGTTACAAAAAACTAAAAGAGCAAACATTATGGGTTTGTTTGCATCACATGCTTCGACATGTTCCAACATGTTCCATAGCAAAGCACTTGGAGTGAGTGGGAGCAAGTAGTAGCAAGTACGAGCATGTTGGAGCATGCAACACAAACAAACCTATAATGTTTGCTCTTTTATTTTTTGTTAAGGTTTATATGAAAAATATATATACATCTTCCTAATTAATTTTTTAAAATAAAATTTATTGATCAAAAAATAGAATTCTCTGAATTATTTCTTTTATATTTTAAAAACAACCTGAATTGAATCAAGGCATTATTTTCTAGCCCCCAACTGGAGCCTTACATAGACAAAAATATCTTAATGTATAGTTTATAATATATATTAAAATTATTAATATAAATAAGGCCCACAATACAAAGCTTTAGATATATAACTATACATATATGTACAGCTATACATATAAGGAATTAGTCATTTATGAGTCATCTTTATTTTTGTTAGTATAAATAGACAATAGATATAATAGATAAATATAAATTTTATTGCCTTCCTAGAGGTTACAAATATATACATACAATTTAACGCCGCTAACACATCCTTATACTACTTAAATCTAACTTATAACTAACTTGAACTGCTAAACACCGCCGTCTCTCTCTCTCTCCCTGCCAGGACCTCCGCTTCCGCTGCAAATGCCACCATCTTGTGGCTTATGACTCCAATTCATGCTTTTGCTTCCTATCCTCAGAGCCTCACCCCGTACTGTTATCTCCTCCCCTCACTCCCTCTCTCTCTTTCAAACATACACACTCACTCACACACTCTCTCTCACCTACCCACTCTCTCCCCCTCACTCTCTCTCCCGCTCCCGCTTTCCTCTTTTCCTCTTCCACCTCTCTCATCCACCCCTCCCCATCCCCTTCGTCCCCCAAAATAAACCCAACCACCTGCCAGCTTCCATCACCCCCTTTCGTCCATCTCCTACATTCTTCCCACACGTGCTCCCATGTTTCCCCATTTCCACAAAACCTACACTTTCTTTCCTCCTCTCCCTCCCAATATCTCCCATCCCTTACCTCATTCCCCAATCTAAACCTAGCCACCCTTCTCCATCTCCCCTTCCCCCAACCCTTTCCTAAGTATACAGGCACCCCTTTTCCCTTTACCCAACCATACCACCTATTGAACCTCGATTCCCTTATTTTTTCCCACCTTTCCTCCTTCTGCACAATCCTATCCCTTTCCAACAAATCTTCAAAATTAACCCCCCCTTTGCCAACTTCCTACCTCAACCTCCCTGTCCTCAAAATATTGCCACCTTTCCTTCTTCCACCCTTCTAACTTCTCCCCCTTCCCTATATTTCCTCTTACCTCCTCCCAACATATCCCCCCCCCCCTCACCCCCCTTTAATCTCTCCTCAAATTCCCAAGCCCTTAGACAATAGATATAATAAAGAAAGGAATTATATTGAAGTGTGATATACTATGTATTATATAAATAAAAATCTAATCAAATGTATATTATGTAGATAAATATCTGATTACAGAAGAATCTCGGGGCACAAAATACAATCAAAGATGTATTATTGACAATTAAAACAAGAGGACCGAATGCATTCAAAAATTTGATTCTTAGTCTAAGACAGTCCAATCATGAAGATGTAGCTGATATATTAGAGAAACAAAATAATACAAGTAGTAACACAAAGTATGTTATGATTTTTTTTTCTTTTTCTTTGTTAGCTCTTATCTAGTCCAAGATAGGCTTCTTGCTACATATTTGATGTATCTTTTCATGTATGTAACAAATCTTCAGAAATATTTAGAAACACTACGCCTGAGCGTAGAAGGTGCTATGTCGAAAAAAAAACATGAAGAAATATCTATGTCAAGAAATGAATGAAAAGCGGTCTATTTCCCATGAGGTATAAGACCAGTCTATATCGGACGCATACGAAGTACGGTATGAGAAGAAAATATGTTGCGCTATATATATAACCTGTTTAATTTCATGCGACTTGAACTCGTTCTTCTCGCTTTCTCGATATAAACTGTACTTCGTATGCGTTCCGACATACATAGTTCTTCACGCCTTATGCGAAATAGATCGCTTTTCATTCATTTCTTGACATAGACCTTTGTTCATGTCTCTCTTGATATAGTACCTTCTACGGCTCAGGCGTCGAACATTAATTCATTCTTTTTTAAAATCTCATTTATGCAACTTTTAAGTTTTAGACAAGAAAATCCGTTGGATCATCATATTTTTTCTGATGAATTTTTTTCTGAACCTTTAACAATCGAAGTATGTAGGGCTACAAAATTCTTAGATTGTGAATATGATCTCATTGAGCGATATCCCATGCGAAGTAAACCTCGTGGATTGGTTTTGATAATCACTAATATTTATTACGAATTATCGTATGAAAAACCCAGATTTTCGGCAAAACATGACAATAATAATTTAAAGAAATTGTTTGAGGAAATGGGTTTTACAGTTGTTACCTATTTAAATTTAACAGGACAGGTAAGGTACAAGTATATTCAAAATGCAAAAATATATTTTTTATTTTTAATATATAATTTTTTAAATATATATATATATTTTTTTATTAAATATATATATAGGACTGATCTAAGGAACACGTAATTAATATCAAATTATTTTTTTCCTTTTTATCAGGCAATGAAAGATATAATTAAAGAATTTTCAAAAAGAGATGATCTAAATAAGGTCGATTCGTGCTTTGTGATCGTTACAAGTCATGGTATGGAAGATGAAGAGAGTAACACAGAGATCCAAGGCACTGATTATCATATCGCAAGTAGGCAAGCAAATTATGAAAAAGTTCTGTGCACAGAAGTCTGTGATTACTTTACCGCAGAAGCTTGTCCTCAACTTGCAGAGAAACCAAAGATATTTATTTTCCAACTTTGCAGGTACAAAAGTATTCCACAATAATATCTATAATTTGTTGATTTTTTACTTTTTGTTGAATTGAAAATTTAGGAAAAATTAGTATTATTTTATAAAAATATCTGGTTTCTTGATTGTCTTAATTTTTGTCTTTCTTATATCTTGCTTCATATATTTCTTTTTTTCATATTCTTTATAGAGGGAAGAAAAAACAAAACGGTGTAATTCACTCTAGAATCACTACAGACTCTTGTGCAGTGAAGTCAACAAATGAAGCCAATATAGAAATACCTCACATTCAAACAATAAGAAATTATTCAGATATGCTTATAGTTCAATCTACTTTGCCTGGGTATGTTTCTTATCGAGACTCCAAAACTGGTAGTTGGTTTATACAAATTCTTTGTAAAATATTCATGAACCATGCTCACAAAAATCATGTCCAGGATTTATTTAACATGGTAAATATTGAGATATTTAAATATGATGGTAAATAGTACAATGATCTACAATTATAATTTACAGATTGATGCAGAGTTGAAAATTCTTAGAACAACAAACCACGAATGTCAGACGTCATCTGTACAGTCATTGGGATTTAATAAACATTGTTATCTTAATCCCGGTCTTTTCATGGAATCATGACGAAAGAAGGAAAAGTTAAACGTTTCATTGCATGAGCGAAAATATGCAATATTTTCATATTCTATCATGAATATTTTAATACATTTAAGTATCAGTACTATTTTATATAAACAGTGTATACTAAAAAGCAGTATTCTAATCATGTCTTTATTATTAATCAGATGAATGTTCGTAAAGTGATATTTTTCTATGTTATTCTGCAATATTTACCACATAATTACATGAAAGTAAAAATGGAGAAACAATATGAAAGAAATGAAAGACAATAAATTAATATATGTAGAAAAAATTTCACAAAAAGAATATTCAACTGTAAAATATAAAATATTATATTGTGAATCATGACACACTTTTTAATTATATAAATTTTTATATAAACCATACAGAGAAATGAATCATGTCTCTATCTGTTTTTCCATTCCTTAATATGTGTAATTATCAGCATTAGCAGTAACGCGTTACTTTATTGATCATTACCTTGTTATAATAACGATTTGATAATAACATTGTGAATTTTTTATAACGGTAATGGTAACATCAGAGTTAGAAAAATTAATTGTTACTTGTAACAGGTTGAAAGTTATTTGTTATTGAAAAAAATAACTTCTTTTTCCATTAATTTGTAACGCATTACTTTTCTACACGCGTTATTTGTAATGAGTAACGTTAGGCGTTACTCGTTACTTATTACTTTTTCTAGTAAGTAACGCGTAATGATGACAAATTACTTCTCAAAGTGACTTTTCTAACTTTAGCACAACTTTAGCGCTTAGTTAGCGTTACCATCATAAAAAATTGCAATATTGTCATCAAATTGTTTACTATAAAAAGTAACGATAAAGTAACTAAAAAATAACATTTGCCAATCCTGCTAATTACCTTGTTAAGAAAATGTAATCGATTTTTTTACATTTGACTATATAAAAAAAGAGATGGGTGTGGGTGTGTGTGCGCGTGCGCGTGCAGGGTGTCCCAAATTAACCGCCGAATATTTTGTGCGCAGGTAGAGTGGGCTAAACTGAGTCGAAAAGTCCTCTGTAATTCTGCAATTTTCGTAATAGTTAACGAGATATTAAAAATCGCCGAATATTGATTTTCAATAATTTTTTACTGAAGTACTATCAACTTTACAGAAAAACAGCAAGAGACAAAAATTGTTTATTTTCTTCTCATAGAATTCTGAGAATTTTTTAAAGAACTTTTTAGTATCGCATATATATTTCTCACGTTGGTAAAAATATAGTTGCCAATATACATAATATAAAAATGCAGTACTAAAAAGTAAAAAAATTTTGAAAAAATTCTTAAAACTCAATAAGAAAATAAACAATTTTTGTCTCTTGCTGTTTTTCTATAAATTTGATAGTATTCGAGTAAAAAAATATTAAAAATGAATATTTGGTGGTTTTTAGTTATTAATGTCTTCTTAACTTTTGCGAAAATTGCAAAATGGTAGAGGACTTCTCGATTCAATTTAAACCGATCTACCTACGCATGAAATATTTAGCAATCATTCTGTGACACCCTGTATATATAGTTTATTTTCATTTTTTTCGCACTTTGTAAGCTTGGAACAAAATTTATTTTGAGTAGCAGATATATTCCATGTAATCTCGTGTTCATTCTATATTTACGATTTTATCGCGACAAAGTGTAAACATTTATAAAAAGGTACTACTACTTATATTTCATATTATTTAATAGCTTGATTTCTTCTAAGCTCCTTACAGATACAAATTACAAACGATGCAATATTCACTTCACTAAACTAAATCCACTTCGACCACTCATTTATATTTTCTTTATAAGTGCTTGAATTATATAGTTGGCAAAATTACATACAAGTTCGCTACACTGCATAACGTCGTAACATACTCGTGTAAAGAAATTATGTATGTATAATGTGTATAATGCTCAAGTATCGAAATTTCACACGTAATGAAGTTTATAGAATAAAATATGATTCTAAAAAAAATGTGAAATTTCTATTGAGAAAATATTTAAAAAGTTCTTTAATTTCTTTATTCTTAAAATCTAACTGATACGTCTTATATATTTTAGTGACAAACAAAAAGTTAATAAACTTAAATGTATGAATAAGTTAAGTATAATCTCTACGTAATACAACTTCGTAGAGTTTAAATGTAGCTATTTGTTTTATTTATAGTGCCATACTTAATTGATAGAATGAATGATGGATTAATGTCAAGGCAATTGAGTTGTGTCAATAGGAGATGAATTTTACTTTATTATTATATTTCTGACTTATGTTTGTGTTGAATTATTCCGTAAGTACAGCGCGTGAAACCGTGCCTATTAGTATAAGGATTGCGCATTGGATGAACGTGGCCGTTTGATCTTTTCCAAATTTTTGATCACGAGATCGTGTAATGAACAATAACGATTGCGAACTTCACACATGACAAGCCACAAGCTTACATATTCCTTTTCGTCTAGTTCTTGAATCGCTCTTCTATAATCAATGATGTGTGGATATTTCGCAACTTTACTAATAATCTTTCCTCTAGAGATAAAATATCTGCAAAGATAAAAGAGTTCAAATAAGATTTTTTAATTAACTATATGTTAATTTAATCAGCATTAATATGTAAATGTTAAATATTACTTGAACAAAATTAACTGCACATAGACATATATCTGTATGTTCTTTTTCTTTATGTTACCTAGAAATTTGATCGAAAAATGCTGCGGCTTCGCTTTCAACTGATTGAATTTCAGATAATGTATCTTCTTGAATAGATACTCCAAAGTTATTCCCGTCTTCAATTTTTGGAATTAAAAAAGAAATCCACATTTTTAGCTAGAAAATTAAAAATAATTGATGAATTTAGAAAAAACATTTGATAAATGCTTAAAGAATTATATTAATAATAATGAAAAATTAAAATTTTTTAAATATAATAAAGTATATTACACAAGTTTATAAACTTTTATTAATAAAATTTCTAACAATATATATTATTCTTTGTATAAAGTAATAGTCGCTATAAAAATGTAGATCTAGCTTAGATATAAATCGCGGTATACTTAATTAATACTTACTAAATTAGAATCCTCCAAAAGTTGTCTGATGTAAGGTTTAACTATGTGAATCAAATCACATAACTTTTTATTGCAAGGAACAGAACCACTTGGAAGTATCAGAACTTTGGTTCCACTGGTCTCTTCTCCATTATTGTCCAATTTAAGCTTTTTTGTAGCAGGAGCTTCTTCGGAATGATTAAGAATTATAGGGTCTGGAATGGGTACATTTAAGTCTTGGTGTATATCTGATAACTTTCGATTACAAAATCCAGGCGTCTCTAATAATTCATTTAATTTAACTATTTTCTCTGGAAATCCTTTCACCAACAGCTCTTCCGCCTGAATAAACAAACATAAATAAATATAAATATAAAAAAATATTGTAATCTCTATAGTTTTATATACATATATTATCAAGTAATGTTTTTGAATCTAAAATTGTAGATTTATCAATCAAGAGAGAGAAAAAGATTACCTTGGTTATAAGAGACTCCTTATATTCCTGAACCTGTAAGGCAAACTCAAAAAATACACTTTGATACAATGATTATGTATGAATATTAAGTGACTTAACCTTAATTTAATCTTCATATTTCTAATTTCTCATAGTACATATAAAACTACACAATTACATTAAATAATTTATATATGTTGTTGTAATAAACAGTATAAGTTTATAAAAAATATATATATAAATATATATAATAAAAATATCTATAGTATCAATGTTCAGGTAATAAATAATGATACATTAAATACGATAGAGAACGCCATTAGAAGTCAAAGTTAGATGTTTCGAATAATTCAATATATATATTCTTTATTAAATCAATTTAGTTCAGATATGATTACACGCCAATAATTTTTGGACTTTTAACACAATCAGTTTGAAACGCTAATAATTCCTCCCTAAATTAAATTAGAAAAACTGTAAAGAATTTATTATAAAAAATATTAGCTCAGCCACAGGGAATTATTAGCGTTTCAGATTGATTGTGTTGAAAGTCCAACAGTTATCGGCACACAATCATATCTGAAATAAATTGATTTAATAAAGAATATATATTGTATTAGGTATTCGAAACATCCTAACTTTGACCGTTAATGGCGTTCTCTATTATATTTAATGTATTCATATACATGATCATCCTTAGTCTTAATATTGTTTAATAAATAATGATGTAAAAATGACAATTATATTTATTCTGTATAACCTCATTTTCTGTGTAACCACTTGATAACACATTATTTGATCCATTCCTTGCATTACTTAGATTAGAATTCCCAGAGAATGTGGAAAACATTACAGAAAAATTAAACAGCAATTTAAATAGTACAAAGAAGAGATATCTGATAAAAGAAATTTTTAGACGGAAATTTTTCTATACATTTCAACTTGTATTTAACTAAATTAGGTGACTGGATACAATTTTAATAGGTTATGATAAATTATTCAATTGTTTTATACAAACGTACAATATACATTTGTATAAAATTTTAAAAATATATAACAGTAACCTATACAAATTTTTTATATCATTAAAAAAAAGAATAATTTAAATATTGCTCCTTTTATATGTTTGTAAATTAAAGCGGGGTCTACAATAGAAGTCGTAGCAGTCGTAAAGTCTTAAGTCGTAGAAAATTGATCAATCACAGTAGAATATGAGAAGAATAATCGACTATGATTGGTCAATTTTCTACGACTTAAGACTCTACGACTGCTACGACTTCTATTGTAGACCCCGCTTTTACATTTTTATATGTTTGTATTCTAGGTATCAATCACGAAACTTTATCCCTAGGATAGAAAGTAAAAAGTAAAAATTTTAACCATTGAAATTAAGGCGATGCTAAAGCCCCCCTGTTTTACCACATTCCTATTCGGTGGGATTTCTCCGTATTGGATGTACGGATTGCAAAAGTATTATTACTTAAATTATAGTACGCACACAGAGGACGTTTGCTACACTGGATTTTATGAGAAAATCGAAAAAAAATTATAAAATTTACTTATTTTTGGCTCGCACAGCTGTCACCTCGGATATATATTTGCTTGA